CAGCCAGGCTTTTCCACGCTCACCAGGTCCGAGAGCACGTGGTAGCCTGCTCACGAGGGGCAGGGCATGGTAGGGCCAGCTGAGGGCCATGAGCCAGGTATTTAGCGCTTCCCACACCGGCTCCGTTAAAGCTGCAGAAGACTCAACTGCCATTATGGGCAAGCCTAAGCCTTGACCTCCCCACCCCTTTCCAATCCTTGGTACAAACTGTTTTCATTGTCAGTCTGGCCTTCTCCTTGGTAACTGGGAGGTGCCCAGTGAGTGTGCCTAGGCCATAGGGCTGGCAGCACTGGCTCCAACATGCTGCTGGGAGCATGGGCCTGCCAGCCTCAGTGGGACTTTAGACACTGGGAAGCAGGTGTGGGCAAGGTGGATGGCCTGCAGAAACCAGGCATTTCTGCTGGGAGCCAAACACCTACAGTCACTGGGGTTGGGCTGACATACACCCCCATTTTGCCCACCCACCCTCAATACTCTTGCCAAAATCAGAACCCTGCCCTGAACCTGTCATAGGAGCCACAGGGGCAGGGTGAGAACAGGGTCCAACCAAGAGTCCCTACCAGATTATTTCCATGTTCCTGCCTCTGTCCCCACTCTCATCATCAGCTCAACATGGGACAGATTTATGCCTCTCCCAACCAGACGTCTTTTTCCCCTGCTCCCACCCCACTGCCTTCCATCTCTCACCCTCCTGTCTCAGACCCTCCATCACTTATCTCTCTCATTCCCTGACACTTCCCTCAGACATAGAAGTGTCCAGATGACCCCACTGGCATCCCTTTCCCAGGGGTTGAGGCCCTCACCAAAGAAAACCCCCAGCACTGTGCGGTTTCTCAGGGAGGCCCGTCCTGCAGGGCCCCTCATGGCCGTGTTGCTAAGGTCTCGTGGGTTGGGCAGGTGGGGCTCTCCCAAGGGCTGGTACACACCATCTGCATAGCTGGCTGGGACCAGGCGCTGCAGCCGAGAGCCTAGGGTAGGAGGGGTGGGGACAAGGATGAATCCTCAGGAGGGCTCCTGGGCCTCTCTCCCAGGCTCCCTTCCATACCACAGATCCTAAAACCTTAGGAATGGATGGGCCTTTGCTGGTACATGCCAGACCTTGCCTCTTAGTGGTGGGTACCACCCTGACCCTGAGGCTCTGTCTCTACTTGGCTCTCACCTACCTTTGCTGCCCCATCTGTGCTCCATGAGGTTGTTGTACCATCCATCAAACCGCTGCACCTCCCATGAAATGGGGTTCTGAGCTCCTGTGTGAGAACAGAGGGAAGGGGCAGCTGAGCAAGTCAGTGCATGGCAGGACAGGCAGGCTTCCAGAATATGGGTCCTGTGGGCCTGACACTTGGAGCAGCAGGAAGTGGACATCCAGCACAGTGTGGGAGGTAGCGTGCAGAGGGAGATCCCCAAGGGCAAAGTGATGTTCAAAGTCAAGCCCAATCTTTAAGCTGTTTAGTGGGGAAAATTTGGTGGGGAGGACTGAAGTAGTGTGGTCAGGTACAGGGTGTGCTGATAAGTGGCCTCAGAGAGGAAAAGGAGCCTGGAGGAGAACACTGGTGATGGGGAAAGGGGTGCATAAGCCTTCTGCTGTCCTCACACCTTAGCTCCCTGGGGGACACAGCAGGACCAAAACTATTCCCAGCCGTAAAACATCATACAGTGAAAGGGCTTGTCATTCTTCCACCCAGGGAAGGACATGTCATTCTGTGACTCATCCCTGGGCAGCGGCGGTATGAAGAAGGGCTTGGCCCTGTCCCATTGAGCAGAATCCAGAGCAAGGGTGTGGGCCATGGGGCTGTGGCTTTGGGCTTGTTGCTATTCTGGTCTTTTTCCCAGTTTTTTGGGTGGGCTCAGGGACTGACTGGTCATGTGGATCACCTTGCCCCCTCATCTTCTGAGGTGACATCTTTCCCATGTAATTCCTCTTCTCAACCCTGTTATACTTGCCAAAAACTAGGTCTGGGAGGAAGCACTTAGCTGTTGAGGGAAGAACCCAGGCAGTGGGGACAGAAGGAAGGGTCCAGAATCAGAGATGGCACAGGCTTCTTTCTGGTCAGTGGAGAAGGTGACCAGCCAGATTCCTTTCCCCAAAATAGGAGGCTACAGAGTGAAGGCTCCATCTCTGCTCACCCCAGAGAACAGAGCAAAAATAAAAAGACTCTCATCAGCCAGAGACCCATTCCTTGACTGTTTCTCCGTTCAGACAGAGGACAGGATCTCAGAGCTACCTTCCTGCCCCATAGCTCCCACACCCGCGGAGCATGCACATGAGCGCACACATACTCACTAGGGGGTCTGAGAGAGAAGACAACTCAGGCCCTGATGTTTCAGCAAAGTACTCAACTAAGGACCCAGGACTTGGGGCAGGAACTAGGGAGCCATATCCAAGTGATCTCTAGGATAAGATGAACTGCTGGCAGAACAAGGAGGCCACCTCTTGGGGAGGGTATGGGGGAGAATGCCTCTTGGGAATAGAGGCAGGAGCTGGGGAGAAAAAAAAAATCCAAGGCCAAGTCAAGGAGAGGGCTGGGAGGAATGGGAATGTGAGCAGCTTTGGCAAGGGAGAAGCTGCAGGGGCCGTCCAGCCATCCTGTCACCTCCAGCTGGGACTGATCATTTCGCAGATTTTCTCTGCTTCCTCCTCTTGCATCCCCCACTTGATGAATCAGGGCCTGGTTCTTTCTAACCTAATCTGTGGTACTGTAAGCCCACTTTTCCTACTCAGAGACCTAGAGTACAGAGAATGGCCTCAGATTCTAGTAAGAGACCATCCAAAGCTGAAGTAACAAGATGAAACTCCTGTGTATCTTATTGGTTTTTGCTTTTACCAAATCGTTTTAAAACATTGGTTACTTCCCTTCAGCTTTGGGTCCAGTCTGATCCCAAGATCCTCTATTGTCTTGTGTGTCTAAACAGTCTTTTTCTCTACAGGGTCAGGGGTCCTTACTTTATGAAGAAAGAGAAGAGAGAGAAGAGAGAAAGGGCCCCAGACCATAAGGAATAAAACAGGAAGAGCTGACCCAGCACTTGGAGGCCGCCTAATCCTGTGTATTTGGGGAAATTTTTCATTCCATTATCCAATCATCTAGTCAACATGCTTGAAATGAGCACGTACCATGTGCAGGGTGCTGTGTCAGCTAGGGACCAGGGAGGCAGAGGTGAATATGACACAGCTTCTGTCCGGGGGGACCCCAGAGGATGCTGGGCTCCTCTGCTCCCAGCCATGCTTCTCCTCCAATCTATACTCACCCAGGGGAATCCATGGCCCAACCAGGAGTGTCCATGCCAGAGCCAAGCAGAAGCCCATGATGAAAATGTTAATAGGGCTCAGGTGTTAGAACACTCTAAAATGAAGACCCTAGAAAAAGACAAAGGACAGAGAGAATGAGCTCCAGCAGTTCGGGAGAATCAGGCCAGGGCCTCTGGAGGCCCCTATGAATCAAGACA